GTTGGTTCGCTGTAGAAATCTGGCTTTCGGTTTTGCTTCTCCCTTGCAGAAACCAAACTCAAAAAAATTGACTTGCATCTCGTTTTCTGTTTTCTCTCATGGAAGTGTCCCCCCACCCCCCGTACAACAGAGGTATTTTTCAACATTATTCTGCACATAAAAAGCCTCAAAGAAACAAACGGACTGAGAACACCAATGACAAAAAGGCCCACAAGGGCAGTATATGAAAAACAGAAACAAGAAAGGAGGTATTCCTACTTCCTGAAATGTCTTTTGCATCGGTGGCTTTCAAATGGATCTTCTAACAGATTCCTAGGCAGCTTATCAAAGGTTCCTGGATGATAAAGCCACAGTCCAAGTCACTCCAGAGCTTCCCTTCCTCAGGAATGACTTAAGTTTGGCCTAGGTAGAAACCTCCAGGTGTTAACGGTGTCACACAGGAAAAAAGATCTCTGCCCTGAACAAACTAGCATCCAATATTTGCCAGTTGGGCGACAACATGGGTGGGGATATACAGTGGCAGAGCATGCCTGCGTTCCAGTTCAACTGGCTTAGGGTCCCGGTTACACATGCAGGGAAGGGGACAGCAGACCACCCGGGCAGTAGAAAGGACCGCACCTGCTTTGGACTCAAGCAATAGGCAGAGCAACAGACCCAGGGTGCCACCCAACGAATAACTCTTGAGACCTCGAGATGAAAGAAAGATTTGGCTGAGCCGACACAACTGGCACTGAGAAAATCAAGCGCATTTATTCGTCTTTAGAGATGCTTTGTTATCCAACATTTCAGAAGCGCAATTATGAAAACCAAAAAAATTTAGATTGTTTCATTTTAGTAAATACATCCCTGAAACGAATCTTGGCTGAGGGGACGGGGACAGGGAAGGCGACTTTCAAATTACAATCGCCCAATTGTTACTGTTCTCTGGGCATCAAAGACCGGCTCTGTACAAAACACGAGTAATCAGAAAGTGTGTTTTTGATCTTGCTGATGTATGCAAAAATGACAATTAATGTTCTCCTCTATGGTCCAGAACTAGGAGGGTGGTTCTTCCCCCCCCCCCTTTCTTTCTTATAGTTATATTTCAAGGACAATTATATTCAGGCTTAAGGCGAGAGGGAGAGAGAGAGAGACTATAAAAATGACATTTTGACATTTAAAAATACCCAGGAAATTAACTGGCGGAGGGAATGATCCAATTAATGGATCACATTTATTAAACCAGGGGTTGACATTCATCGAATTCAGCTTTGTATCAAAAAGGGTGAAGTCCTGCACCAAGAGGCATGCTGAGAGCATGAACCTAAGAAAAATCAGACTGGATGAGACCAAAGTCCCTGCTAACTCGCACCCTTTCCCTAACAAGTGGTCAGTCAAATGCTTCCAGGAAGGTATACATGGAAAGTGTAGCCTCCTCCCCTTTTTGCTCCCTTGGCAACTGGTCTTCAGGGGGATGCTGTCCCCAATGATGAAGGGTCCATCCTTAACTATCCCAGTTAATGGGGATGGGCACAAACTGAAAAATATCGATTCAGTTCAGAGTGGTTCGAAGTGGGGGTGGGTGCAGGATCAGCCATCCACTATTAGGTTGAAATGGCCGGCAGCCATTTCAGCGGTCCATTTCGCTTCCACCCACTTTGAAGCAGGGGGGTAGCAAAAATGACCACTGAAATGGCTTGCAGCCATTTAAACCTAATAGCTAACGGGCAGACCTGTGCTGTTCAGCTGTTAGGTTTAAATGGCCCGAAAAGTCGAACCGGACAAAAGTCCAGTAAATGTTCAGAGAAAGCACCTTCCTCAAATATAAGTTGAGGAAGTTCATTCCAGATTTTGGCTTGTGAATCAGTTTGTGCCCATCCCTACCAGTTACTAAGCACTGATAGACCTATCGTCTTCCATCCGTTCATAATAATCTCCTTTTAAAATCCATATCGACCAGCAGCCGTCATGACATCTTGAGGCAGGGAGTTCCATACGTTAGCTAGATGTTGTGTGGACAAGTACTTTGGTTTGCCCAGAATCTACTGCCCATCGATTTAGAGAAACAGATCTCTCCCATTTGTTTTCTCAACTGGATTCCCAGTTTTACAAACCTCTCTTCTGGCCTTCTTCTTTTGTCAAATTACTTCAAAGCGAGGTGAAGAGGGATGAGTAATTAGCAGGGTCTGAAAAGGTTTTCCATAGTGGGGTGGGGGGAGTCTGAAGGGCGTTTCCTAGTGTTTTAATCTGCATGGCCAATCAGAAGGAGCCCCCCACCTGGCTCCACCTACTTCCTAAAAATACTTTGCAGGCACCAGGAAAGGTGTTGGTGGGCGCCGTGTTGCCCCTGGGTACCCAACTGGGAACCCCCAATGCAGCAGGTGACTCTCAATGGGCCAGCTGGAATGACAGAGCTGGACAGGGTGGACAAGGGTCCCTTGGCGATAGCTTCACTGTGTGGGCAGGTGGGGCAGGGAATCCGGCCAGTTCGCATCTCACAGCATCCACATCAGTTGTCAGCCAACCCAGGGGTCTTTCCAGAGGAAGAGAAAGGTGGCTAGTCCAACATCTGTTCCAGTTTTGTAAATGGGATGTCTATGTAATGTGTACATATGTGCCTGTATATGTGTATACACACACACATACTCATCTAGATGCCAAGAATGAAAAACAGGATTTTATCTGCTTCCCCTTATGCTAACTAGAGATGCTAACACTGTCTCGCTCCCCATACCTGCTTTCTTTTTCTCCCAGCCTACAGCAAATCAAAATGTGTATCGTTACTACCACCTAGTGGATACGGGAGGGTTCTTCCTCCTCAGTGAGGTTTTAATATCCCTGGGTCTTTGTACCAAAGCACTGAAAAAATTCTGGCAACGTGCATAATTCAACATGTGTTCTTATATATTTGTTCGGCATGTGGAGGGTAAGGATACCTATGAACCAACTGCACATTTGTATCCAAAAAGAGTCCATGAATTCTCTGGTCTCTGTTGCTGGTAAAACAGCATCCTTGTTTTGCCTTTTGGGAAGCTGTTGGGGAAGAGGGGTAGACAGAAGAAAGGAGGAGGCAGCGGCAAAGCCGGCCTTGTTAAAGTTGTGGGGACCTGCCCAGCTCCTAATAGCTTTGAAGGGAGACACTTTGAATTCAAGCCCCCACTTTGTTAAATGCTGATGTTTGGGAAACACGCTTTATCATCTAAAAACACATAAACATATGGAACTGCTTTGTACTGAATCAGACCTTTGGTCCATCAAAGTCAATATTGTCTACTCATACTGGCAGCCACCTTAGAACATAAGAACAGAAGAGAAGCCAATGCTGGATCAGGCCAATGGCCCATCCAGTCCAATACTCTCGCACAGTGGCCAAAAATACCAGGTGCCCTCAGGAGGTCCGGCAGTGGGGCCAGGGCACTAGAAGCCCTCCCACTATTGCCCCCCCCAGAAGCACCAAGAATACAGAGCATCCCTTGCCCCAGACCGAGAGCTCCTATCTATACCTTGTGACTCATAGCCACTGATTGACCTCTGCTCCATATGCTTATCCGATTCCCTCTTGAAGCTGTCCATGCTTGTAGCCGCCGCCACCTCCTGTGGCAGTGAATCCCACGTGTTAATCACTCTTTGGGTGAAGAAGTACTTCCTGACTACTTAGCAATTTCATTGAGTGCCCACGAGTTCTTGTACTGTGAGAAAAGGAGAAAAGTATTTTTTTTCTCTACCTGATCTATCCCATGCATAATCTTGTAAACCTCTGTCACGTCACCCCTCAGTCGTCATTTCTCCAAGCTAAAGAGCCCCAAACGCTTTCATCTTTCTTAATAGGGGAAGTGGTTCAACCCTTTTATCATTCTAGTTGCCCTTTTCTGCACTTTTTCCAATGCTATAATATTCTTTTTGAGGTGTGGTGACCTTTCCCATCACCTCCTGGCTGATCTTTTAACTGGAGATACCAGGGATTGAACCTGGGACCTTCAGCATGCCAAGCAGATGCTCTACTACTGAGCCACAGCACCTCCCCTCCCTCTTCCCCATATCCTGGAAGATTAATAACCTAAATTGTATGCAATGAATGGGCATTTCTGCTTCCAAACTTTTACCAACATTCCCTTGCAGGTGTGAAGATCTGGAGTATGGAACTGAAATTCATTCCATTTGGTTGGGACACAAAAATTAAGAAGAATAATGACACGAGCACGAACACCTTCTCTTTTTTGTTTTATTCATTCTCTGCTCTCCTCCCCCCTCCACCCACAGTACTTACTCAACCTGCACCACTGGCAGGGCTTTTTTTGTAGAAAAAGTCCAGCAGGAACTCATTAGCATAATAAGGCATACCCAACAGCAAAAACTCATTAGCATATTAGGCCACACCCCTGATAGTACCGCTCATTAGCATATTAGGCCATACCCCCATGTTACCAGAAGTGTGCTCATCCAGCCACACCCACCTTTTGCTTCTTATTCTGTTTACCTTGTTTGTTGTCAAAACCCAGGGGTTTTTTTTGTAGCAGGAACTCCTTTGCATGTTAGGCCACACACCCCTGAAGTAGCCAATTCCAATGAGTGTCTGCTGTTGGGTGTGGCCTGTTATGCTAATGAGCTCCTGGTGGGCGTGGCCAACTCAGGAGCCAGCCGGAACTCCGTTCCTGCGCGTTCCTGCCCAAAAATAGCCCTGACCACTGGTACCAGCGGCCAGCCACCCACTGGGAGGGCAGGAACATGGGAGGAGAATCCACCCCTTTACTCTTCTAGGGCCTGGTATCTGATGTGTCTAGGGCACCACAACACAGGAAACAGTCCGTAGATGTCTCAGATAACTGCCAGTAAGCGATATTGACTGAAAGAAAGGATAATGCAAACCCCGAGACAGCTTTGCAGAAGTTCACTTTATCAGATGTGTTCCAGATAACCCAAGTCTTCTTGGAGAGTCCACTGCATCTTGCTTAGTTCTCACATTTTTCTCAACTTAGGGATCCTGCAGCTTCCTGAAGACCCTCGAAATCATTCTTGCTGAGCACGTATCTTGCTAGAGATCCCTCGTCCTTGGCTGAAGCATCTTCAAGGACGTGTTGTTGATGTTGTTTTTTCAGGCAGAAGGAACAAAAACTTCATGTCGCTTTCATTTTTTGGCTACATATGGAATGCAAAAGAATCCCTGAAAAGGAATTTTTTTAAACAAAAGAAATCTGTGAGAAGAGTTTCACAGTTACCAAGCTTTTTTGCCTTCACAAGAAGGAAGAGAAAGACACAGGGTGGATCTAGAGAGGGATTCCTTACCAGCTGCAACGGACACGTTCAATGATTCGATTCCAGGCTGCAGTTCTCTTCCTGGGAAGATGCTCAGCATCCTTCGGCACAGCCTTCTAGTCTCCGGGGAAAGGCCGTAGCCTTCATTCCCTGCCAAGAAATACCCCCATAAAATGTTTTGTAAAACTGGAATCTGGGACACCACGAAAGCCACTGATGGATTTTGTTGCCACAACACGCAATGGCTACGAATGGGTGGGAGCCAGTTTGGTGTAGTGGTTAAGTGCGCGGACTCTAATCTGGGAGGACCGGGTTTGATTTCCCACTCCTCCACTCGCAGCTGCTGGATGACCTTGGGCAAGCCATAGTTCTGACAAGAGCTGTCCTTGAAAGGGCAGTTCTCTCAGAGGTCTCTCAGCCCCACCTACCTCACAGGGTGGCTGTTGTGGGGAGGGGAAGGGAAAGGAGTTTGTAAGCTGCTCTGAGGAGACTCCTCTTCCTCCTCTGGCTGTGGGTTTCTGAAAAGCACCTGAGCACTGACCAAGTCAGGATGTCAGGCTAGACAGACATTACATTTAAGAACAATCAGACCCCTGGTCCACCTGGTGAACTGCTGCCTAATTGGACTGGCAGCAGCTCAGACCCCACGCCATCTAGTCTGCTGTGACTAGCAGCTGCTCTCCGGGGACTTGGGCAGAGAAACAATTTTCCCAGCAGAAGCCTCCTGGGACATTAAAACAGCCCAGTTATGGGAGAAGAGAAAATAACTTCTCAAGTCAAAGTACCGGGAAATCCTAATTATCAACGCGCACTTCACGAAAAACGGTTTCCTGCCTCATCATGCTTCCACTTCCACGGTATATGGGTTAACCCTTTCATTTCTGTATCAAAGTAGGATAAGGGTTTGGGAGGGTGGCAGCTTTTAATATTGTTGGGGTTTATTGCATTTTAATTGTTGCAAGTTTGCTTCAGAATCCTATATTTGGTTGAAAGCAGATTAAACATAAAATGCGTAGCCTCAGTTGGGTAGCCGTGTTGGTCTGAAGCAGCAGAACAAATGTTGAGTCCGGTGGTACCTTTAAGACCAACAAAGCTGGTCACTCAATAAAATATTCACCAGGTGTAGACAACTCACAATCGTAACTCCACCCACTCCACTTCCCAAACTTCAGAGAGCTGAGAAAGAGTAGTTTAAAGGACACAGAATATCTGGATGTTCCACTGACTGGGTTGGAGGCACTTCTATGGAGGGCACCTGTTGTGCTACGCGAATAAACGGAAGATTCGGTCTCACCTCTGGAAATTCTCCACGCAGTCTCCATCTCACCAAAAGGGCTGGTGTCAAAACCAGCACCCGCAGTTTCCATGTTGCTACCAGGTAAACACAGAAACCAAACGTTTAACTAGAGGCTTGCATTGATTAGCGATTAAACCATCCAACAGGCTCTGATATGCCAGCGGAAACAGAGCTGAAATCAATCCCAGGTCGTTAGCAGCCAATGTGTTTTATGCCAGAGCCAAACAGGACGGTAGAAGCTGAGAAGGAACCCTCAAAGGGTCAAGGGAAGATTTTTATCTGCTTGGATGATGCACATCCACACCTACCTTCTGCTCTCCAGACAGAAGGAACGGGAAAGAAGGGGGGACACAGAAAGAAATGCCTTCTCCTAGGCACTCACCTAGGGAACAAAGATGTACCAGGCAGATTGCCCATGCGGTCTCCGGCACAACCTCCAACCCATTCAATGGAACAGCCAAATATCACATCAAAGGGAAGCGAGCTGTTGAACTCATAGCCACGGTCCTCCCCAAGGCCCACAGGCTTGCGTTCTCCCTCTCCACGTGAACACAGCCTTATGATTCGTCAGCAGCCAAAAGAGGCCTCTCCCTCCTGAATTTTACAAATCCAGGTTTCCCCAAAACTAGACCGGCCCATGCCTTCAATCTAATGAGAAGCAGAGAGTGTGAACTGAAGCTCATTAGAATCAGGACTAAAAACCAGTTTCCAGGAAGTGCCGTTTCAATCACGGAACTCTGTCGCCAGACCCCAGAACTGTTTGGAAACCCCCCTGGTTAGAACCTAATCACTGGCAATCTAGAAAAGGGTTCCCGACACCGGACACTCACCCCGAGAGAAGGCGTGAACAGTGTGTGGGACTCCAGCCCCCACTCCCAATCAGTGTTCCCTCTAAGATGAGTTAGTGTGAGCAAGCTCACAGTTTTTTAGCCACCGGCTCACACATTTTCATCTGAGCTCAGGAAGGAGAGCTCCAGAGCAAACTAATCTATGCGGTAGCCAAATTGCTGGCTCACAATTTTAATGCCAGCAGCTCACAAAGTAGAATTTTTACTCACAAGACTCCACAGCTTAGAGGGAGCATTGCTCCTAATCCCAACTTCAGGAATACGTCCCCATTCAGATTCTACTGCTAATTCCCACAGGGAACACATTTCTCAGGCTCTCCGGTACCACACGCTGTTCAATTTCCTTTTCCGCCAAGAGGGAGTGCTCAGAGGAGACTTAAAACCATTGTCAGTGGTAAGATTGGTGGAGGTACGGAAAGAGTTTGCCACTCAGCCCCGGCTGTCCCCCGACAAAAGGGATGGGGTGGACTTCCTCGCAGAGACGTGTCTCGTTGTTCAACGAAAAGCTGCCAAGAGTTGCCGTCTCCCCCCACCCCCCAGCCCAGGTTCATGCTGCCGTCGCTCTTGCGAAGGATTTCCCTGGGGTCCGCTGCCATCATCCCCCCGCCCCACACGGGCCATTATTCTTCCCGTCCTTGCAATATAAAGGCTGATGGTTCTAGGGAGATGCTGTGCTTGGGAGTTCAGTGAGAAATTTAATTAAAGATGAGTCTTGCGACAAGAGGGAAATGGGACTGCTGGGTGGTACTGCGTTGCCAGTAGAGTGGAACAGCCCAAATCACTTCCTGTGCCTCCCGCCCTGGTACGAACAGCACCTAGTGCATAAATCAGGATTGGCTCCCTTGCAGTGGAATGAAGATTGCAGTAGTCTATCCTTTAATACAAATGAGTGTGCCTCCTGAGTCAGGCCCTTGGCCAGTCTAGCTCCAAAGCCTCCTCTGACAGGAACTGGCTCTCCAGGATATCTGGAGGAGAAGGGCCCCTCTCATGACCTGCTACTTGCCATCTCTGAACTGGAGATCCTGGGGACTGAACTCGGAGCCTTCTGCGTACAAAGTGGGTGCTCTGCCACTGAGCTATGGCCCTTCCCCGCTTGTGGGCTTCCTGGGGGAAACCTGAGGGCCCCTAAGGGCAACAGCACGCTCAGCCAGATGGACCTGTTATTACTAAGAGCCAGTTTGGTGTAGTGGTTAAGAGTGGCAGACTCTAATCTGGTTTCACTCCCCATTCCTCCACATGCAGCCAGCTGGGTGACCTTGGGTCAGTCACAAGTTCTCTCAGAGCTGCTTTCATAAGAGCAGTTCTCGAAAGCAACCTCTCAGCCCCACCTACCACACATGGTGTCCGCTTTGGGGGGAGGAAGGGAAAGGTGACTGTAAGCTTCCTCCTCCTCCTCCTTCTATCAGTATAGTGAAGATCTCCCACCTTCCCTTCCTATGATCTCTCTTCTCAAGAGATGCCCAGAGCATGGACAGTCTTGAACCCACAATCGTACAAGTTCCCAGAGGCCAGTTTTTCTAGCTTGTCAGAGGTATGACGAGATGGCCTCCGTTTATATACATCATTTTCCCTTCCTCGTTGACAATGTTTTTATGAACTTTGAGGTCAACTTCTTCTCTGATCAGCAATGAACACCATGCCAATAGGGCTTCCTCCCGTCGGGTGCCACAAGCCTCGACTTGAGGTTTCTGCCCCAGCTTCCGGGAGTCTACATGCCATGCCAAATGGGAGACTCACAGAACACCCCCATGGCCCTATTGGCCTTGAGAGTTCAGGTGATGACAATGGAAGGCCAATCTGCGCCACAGGGGGAATTAAGCCTATCAGACCATCTGACTTCTAGAGATGTAAAATTTCTGGAAATTTTGAAGCTCGGAAAAAACCCAGAAATTTTCTGAAAAATTGAAAAAAATGCTACATTAGCACTTCTTTTTTCTTTTTCAGATTGAAAGTCATTCTGTTACTTTAGGAACATAAAATATGACTATGGACATTTTTACTTGGCATGAAATTATCACAACTAGCATATTAAAAATATAGTGTATCCAAACAATTATTACAAACAGAATACGCACCCACATGCAAAAACAAAACTGAAACCTTTTTCTTTTCTTGTGACAATAGCACCTCCTAAAGGAAGAAATGCATCTTGTTCTTGCATTGGAGAGTTCAGTTTGTAACCTAGGACTTGCTTGTCCTCAGTGCACAGAAATTAGATCAATCTGATACCATACATATTTTTTAGAAATGATTTGGAAAATATTTGAACACCTTGTCTTAAAATATTTTATTCATCATGTTAAAATAAAATGTCCCATAATCAATTTTTTTTCTTTTCTTTTTTCAATTTTTCCAATTTGGGGACCTGCCATAGTTTGTTGTGATCCACACAGTCAAAGGCTTTAGCATAGTCAATGAAGCAGAAGTAGATATTTTTCTGGTACTCTCTTGCTTTCTCCATAATCCAGCGAATGTTGGCAATATGATCTCTCGTTCCTCTACCTCTTCGAAACCCAGCTTGTACTTCTGGTAGTTCTCTATCCACGTACTGTTGAAGCCTAGCTTGTAGGCATGAAATTATCACAACTAGCATATTAAAAATATAGTGTATCCAAACAATTATTACAAACAGAATACGCACCCACATGCAAAAACAAAACTGAAACCTTTTTCTTTTCTTGTGACAATAGCACCTCCTAAAGGAAGAAATGCATCTTGTTCTTGCATTGGAGAGTTCAGTTTGTAACCTAGGACTTGCTTGTCCTCAGTGCACAGAAATTAGATCAATCTGATACCATACATATTTTTTAGAAATGATTTGGAAAATATTTGAACACCTTGTCTTAAAATATTTTATTCATCATGTTAAAATAAAATGTCCCATAATCAATTTTTTTTCTTTTCTTTTTTCAATTTTTCCAATTTGGGGGGGGGGGAAACAAAAAAGGCTTCAGGGGAAAAAAATCTGTTTTTTTTCCGGGCCTTCACATCCCTACTGACTTCCCTTAGTCTAGACACCCCTTAGTCTGGACATCTCTGCCTTGAACGTAACAATATGTGAAAAGTCCCACTGGATCAGAGCAACGGTCCATCTAAGGGCAACATCTTGTTTCACACAGTGGTTAACCAGTTGTCCTGGAGGACCAACAAACAGGGCAGACAGGCCAAGGCCTTCCTCTGATGCTGCCTGGCACTGTGATTCAGAGGATGACTGTCTCTGAATGTGGAGGTTCCCTTCAGTCACCGTGGCTAGGAGCCACTGATAGCCCTCTCCTCCGTGAACCTGTCTCATCCCCTTTGACAGCTATGCTGTTGGAGGAGAGCTTTACAGACACCACAAACTGCCAAAAAGACAAATAAGTGGGTTCTAGATCAAATTAACCTTGAACTGTCCCTAGAACCTAAAATGACTAAACAGAAGGTATTGGAAACAAGACTCACGGGAAAAGACAGCAATGCCAAGAGAAGCGGAAGGCGGCAGGAAAAGAGGAAAACCCAACATGAGATGGACGGACTCCATCAAGGGAGCTACAAAGGCCCTCAGTTTGCGAGGCCTGAGCCAGGCTGTTAATGCTAGGACATTCTAGAGGCCATTCATTCCTATGGTCGCCATAAGTTGGAAGCTAGTTCACAGCACATAACACATACACACATTCATGGCTATCACTACATCCACTGGAGGTGAATCCCACAATTTAATTACTTGTTGATTAAAGAACATTGGGCTCTTCTCCGTGCCTCCAGACTGTAAGACTTTCTCCAAAAAATTAATGGACTCAAGCACTTGAAACCTCGCCCAGCTGCCCTGTGTGCCCGGCCCCACCATCACTGAACCCCTTGTCCCTCTACTTGTGCTAAGTTTGGCCATTACAGTGCCAAAGGAGCCATCTTACAAAGCTGAAGGCCAGAGAGATGGAAAAGTAGTGCCTGATGCCAACAAGATAATGGACAAGATCTCCACGGGGTGGGGAAAAGGGTTCCGAGTAAGACAGCTCGAACAGGCAATGATGGCATCCAGACCTCTACCCACAATGCTCCATTATATCCTATCAAGTACCCACCCAGATGAGGACACAGGATGTGAAACTTGAACTGGTTCATGGCTGCAGTCCAAGGAACGGGTGACCCTCCTAAGCCATCTGGTTGTAAGCATTTAGCAATATTTTTGCGCTTCTCTACCATGTACATCCATCTTGTAAGCACTCGACGGATGCTTTTTGGTGCCAGTTTGGTGTAGTGGTTAACCACTCCCACTCTAATCTGGGAGAACCGGGTTTGATTCCCCACTCCTCCACTTGCAGCTGCTGGTGTGACCTTGGGCAAGTCACAAGTTCTCTCAGAGCTGTTCTCTCAAGGCCAGTTCTCAAGAGAGCTCTCTCAGCCTCGCCTACCTCACAGGGTGTCTGTTGTGGGGAGGGGAAAGGAGTTTGTAAGCCGCTCTGAGACTCTGAGTGAAGGGTGGGGTATAAATCCAATCTCCTCCTCCTCCTCCTCCTCGTCTTGGAGCCAGCTGCATCACCATACTGGGCCCTTCCCCTCCCTGCTGGATGAGGGAGAACCCCTGGAAGAGTCTGTTTGCTTTTACTGCTGACATATTTTACATCTAGTGGTGGTGGAAAGTACCATCAAGCGCAGCCAACTTGTAGAAACCCCATAGGGTTTTGAAGGCAAGAGACGGACAGAGGCGGTTAGCCCTGGCCTGCCTCTGCATAGCAACCCTGGACTTCCTTGGTGGTCTCCCATCCAGGTACTGACCAGGACCAACCCTGCTGAGCTTCAGAGTTATAACGAGATGGAGCTAACCTGGGCTGTCCAAGTCACCTACTGGCCATAAATCCAGCTCTTCGTTTCACAGGACGTAATTGTGTCCAAATGACTTAATTACCACTTAATTACCCCTTTCCCACACTCCCCTTTCCTGGTAACACTCTCCCTGCAGATCCACAGTCCCAGGTGTGAAACGGCTGCTTTAACTTTATCGTAATCCTCCAGCCTTCGATAGCGAATTGTGCCGTGGGAACTGGTCCTCCATCACAACGCATCATACCCCATGGTTTAAATACCAGGATGTTACCCACCTAGTAACAAGATAGTGGGCTTTGTCCAGCGAAAATCTAAGCAGCTCTCCGTGGGAATGTCATCCACGGCTGTGGAGTGGCCAACCGTCCCAATGATTTCCCATCCTTGTTCAGATTTTGCCTTCAAAACATAAATATGGGAGGGGGAGACAAACAAGTCAACTTTCCCCCAAAACTGCATATCCCCCACACATTTAGAAAACATCCACACAGCTTTAATTCCACTGTAAAAAGGAACAGTACATCTGGTTGACTTGTACCCCTTCCAGCATGCTTGGATCCAGCTTAGCTGAGAGACCCCCCACCCTTCCCCAAAGCTGGGGGGGGTGACAGTGGGAGATCTTCTAGTGTCCTGGCCCCACTGCTGGAACTCCTGAGGGCACCTGGTATTTTTGGCCACCGTGTGACACAGAGTGTTGGCCTGCTCCAGCATTGGCTTCTCTTATGTTCTTATGTTCTTGGTTTTTGGGGGGCAGGGGCATCAGTGGGAGGGCTTCTAGTGTCCTGGCCCCACTGCTGGACCCCCTGATGGCACCTGGTATTTCTGGCCACTGTGTGAAACAGAGTGTTGGACTGGATGGGCCATTGGCCTGATCCAACATTGGCGTCTCTTATGTTCTTATGCTTTATACTGAATCAGACCCCGAGTCCATCAAGGTCAGTATTGTCTACTCAGACTGGCAGTGGCTCTCCAGGGTCTCAGGCAGAAGAGGTCTTTCACATCACCTCCTGCCCAATCCTTTTTCGAACTGGAGATGCCGGGGATTGAACCTGGGACCTTCTGCGTGCCAAGCAGAGGCTCATTCACTGCCCCTCCTACTCCCAACTAGATTAAATGGAGGACATAAGGGGAGGGGGTCAGATGCAGCCAAGCACCCCTCTGTCGTGCCTGGAACTAGCTCTAGCGGAAAATTATTTCCGTAAAGAGCATTTACGTTGCATTTTCATATCACTTGGATGGCTTTCTCCTTCTAACCCAGAACAAAGTTTGAGTGCGGGGGCTCTGTTCTGCTGCTTCAGACCAACACGGCTACCCACCTAGATTTTCCTTCTGACCCACTCTCAGAATGAATTTGTGGCTGAAAAGCAGAATCAAACAAACAAACAATCCCCACAAAAAGAAACTGGCACTCTGCTTTTGCATCATAATGTTCTCCAAGAAGAAGGCAGAGGAATCATAGAATCATAGAATGTTAGAGTTGGAAGGGACCTTGCAGGTCATCTAGTCCAACCCGCTGCACTCTGCAGGAGCATAGCCGAAAGATAGCCCTGCATACCTACAACATACCCAAAAGATGGTTGTCCAGCCTCCGCTTGAAAACAACCAGCAAAGGAGCACCCACCACCTCCCGAGGCAGACTGTTCCACTGCTCAACCACTCTTACAGTTAGGAAGTTTCTCCTGATATTTAGCCGGTAACGACTCCCTTGTAATTTCCACCCATTAGATCTAGTCTTGCAATCCGGAGCAAGAGAGAATAGATCTGCTCCATCTTCTACATGACAGCCCTTCAAATACTTGAAGACTGCAATCATGTCCCCTCTAAGCCTTCTCTTCCCCAGGCAAAACATACCCAACTCTTTCAGCCTTTCCTCATAAGACTTGGATTCAAACCCAGGAGGAGGAGATTGGATTTATACCCCGCTCTTCACTCAGAGTCTCAGAGCAGCTTACAAACTCCTTTCCCTTCCCCTCCCCACAACAGACCCCCTGTGAGGTAGGCGGGGCTGAGAGAGCTCTGAGAGAAACTGCAACAGCTCTGACAGAACTGTGGCTTGCCCAGGGTCATCCAGCAGCTGCAAGTGGAGGAGTGGGGAATCAAACCCGGTTCTCCCAGATTAGAGTCTGTGCACCTAACCACTACCCCAAACTGGCTCTTCTGGTACACGATATACAGCATTATCATGAAAATATCTGTGTTGCATTTTAGTCATCTCGATCAGTGCCAATGAGTGGCCAGGGACTCATCATGAATGAACATTGTTGATCCTTGACAGCTGAGAATCCCCTACCCGCCTTTGGAATGTAACAGCCATCAGGGCTGAGGGAAGGTGACGCCACCCAGAGAAGCTATTTGGAGCCTCTTTGGACATTTGAGATGAGAGAAGAATTAGACAAAGGAGCAAGAAGTTCCTGACAGGAGGGTAAATACATACATTGCTTTTCATGTAATGGTTTATGCAAGGAAACTGCAGAGCTGGAAAAAGCGCAGAGGAGGCGGTCAGGATGATTAGCTGGAGCACCTATGAGGGAAGGCTCAACAGTTTGGGACTTTTCAGTTTAGAAAATAGACAACTAAAGGGGGACATCATGATAGAGGTTTATAAAAATTATGCATGGGGTGGAGAGAGCTGACAAAGGGAAATTTCTTTTTCCTTCTTCCAAAAGACTAGAACTCGAGGTCATCCAGTGAAGCTGATGGACAGTAGGTTCAGGGAGGACAAAAGGAAATACTACTTGCCACAGAGAATGATTCATATGTGGGATTTGCTACCAGAGGATGTCATGAGGGCCACAGGAATGAACAGATTTACAAGGGGATCAGACAGATTCATGGAGGAGAAGTCTATCAATGGCTGCTAGCCCTGGGGACTGAGGGGAACCTCCATGTTCAGGGGCACTAAGCCTCTGAATCCCAGAGCCAGGAGGCAACATCAGGGGAAGGCCTAGGACTCTATGCCATGTTGTTGACCCTCCAAAGGAATTGATTGGCCACTGTGTGAGGCAGGATGTTGGATAAGATGGCCCTAAGAAGGTTCTTACCAGGGGAAGGCCTCAGCCACTGTGCTCTGCTGGTGGGTCACGGTGTGAGACAGGATGCTGGACTAGGTGGACCACTGGTCTGATCCAGTAGGGCTCTTTTTAGGTTCTTATCAGAGGAAGGCCTCGGCCTCTCTGCCCTGTTGTTGGCTGTCCAGAAGAACTGGTTGGCCACTGTGTGAGACGGGATGCTAGACTAGGTGGACCACTGGTCTGATCCAGTAGGGCTCTTCTTAGTTTCTTATCAGAGGAAGGCCTCGGCCTCTCTGCCCTGTTGTTGGCCGTCCAGAAGAACTGGTTGGCCACTGTGTAAGACAGGATGCTGGACTAGGTGGACCACTGGTCTGATCCAGCAGGGCTCTTCTTAGGTTCTTATCAGAGGAAGGCCTCGGCCTCTCTGCCCTGTTGTTGGCTGTCCAGAGGAACTGGTTGGCCACTGTGTGAGACAGGATGCTGGACTAGGTGGACCACTGGTCTGAACCAGTAGGGCTCTTCTTAGGTTTTTATCAGAGGAAGGCCTCGGCCTCTCTGCCCTGTTGTTGGCTGTCCAGAAGAACTGGTTGGCCACTGTGTAAGACAGGATGCTGGACTAGGTGGACCACTAGTCTGATCCAGCAGGGCTCTTCTTAGGTTCTTATCAGAGGAAGGCCTCGGCCTCTCTGCCCTGTTGTTGGCCGTCCAGAAGAACTGGTTGGCCTCTGTGTGAGACAGGATGCTGGACTAGATGGACTATTGGTCTGATCCAGCAGGACATTTCTGTCCTTATGTAAGGACTGCACCTGTCTCCACTACGCCTCCCTTGGATATGTGAGGGACAGTGTGGTGTAGTGGCCTGAGCGCTGGACTGGCAGCCATGGTTCAAATCCCCATTCATCAGCGAAGCTGCCTGGGTGACCCTTCTGCTCACTCTTTGCCCAGGCTTTGATTAATTTCCTTTGACTCTAGGAGCCAGCCCAAAACTTGCAGAGCCAGAGTCATGTTTCAATCTTCAGGGTGACAGAGGACTGTATTTCCTGACTAATGCTGCCACACAAAATACTTGGCACCTCAAATAAAATTTTAGGCACCACGGCAACCAGGCACCTGGGATTTCTCAAGCCCTGTAGTAGCCTTAACCTGCCTTGCAGGGACATGATCAATGGAAAAGTTGGAAACGCTCTATGAAAGATGGGAGAGAAGGATACACGTGAATTGCATTTGCTATATTTTCAAGCAGAACAAATATCACAAAGGCACTGTATCCCTCGGAGCCCTGTGTGCTGTCATTGGACAGAGAAGTGAGGCAAAGGGAGAGCCATGCCATTTATTCATTTAAAATTCTTCTGTCCCTGCCTTTCAGTGTAAAATTTCCAAGGCGGCTAATGAGTGGGGAAATGGCCATAACATTCATCAACAAACAAACAGCACATTGCCGCCCAACGGGGGCAGACGGTTCAAAAACAGGCAGGAATCAGCAATGATTATCTAATTAAACACCAATTAAAATTAATTAAAAGGTCAGGAACACAGGAGCAATATCCAGCCAGCTGCTGAGAGCCGACCAGGCAGGTGCTAACTGTGTGGCGTTCCAGAGAGCGGTCCACAACTGCAGTGCCAGCTCCAGGTTGGGAAATACCTGGAGATTTGGGGGTGGGGCCTGATGAGGGCGGGGTTCAGGGAGGGGAGGGGCCTCAGCAGGGTACGATGCCATGGAGTCCGCCTTCCAAAGCAGCCGTTTCCTCCAGGGGAACTGATCTCTGTCGCCTGGAGGTCAGTTCTAATCCCAGGATATCTCTAGATGCCAGTGTTCCCTCTAAGCTGAGTTAGTGTGAGCTAGCCCTCGGTTTTTTAGCCTCTGGCTCACACATTTTTGTCTTAGCTCAGGAAGGATGGCTCCAAAGCAGTTTGGTGTAGTGGTTAAGTGCACGGACTCTAATCCGGGAGAACCGGGGTATAAATCCAATCTCTTCTTCTTCTAACTTATGCAGAAACCAAATCGCTCGCTCACAACTTTCATGCCCGTAGTTAACACAGTAGAATTTTTGCTCACAAAACTCCACAGCTTAGAGTGGGCATTGCTGGCAATTCTATCGCCAACCCCAGAAAAGAAGAAGAGATTGGATTTATACCCCGCCCTTCACTACCCGAAGGAGTCTCAGAGCATCTTATAAACTCCTTTCCCTTCCCCTCCCCACAACAGACACCCTCTGAGGTAGGTGGGGCTGAGAGAGCTCTGAGAGAACTGCCCTTTCAAGGACACATCTGACAGAACTATGGCTTGCCCAAGGTCACACCAGCAGCTGCAAATGGAGGAGTGGGGAATCAAACCAAGTTCTCCCAGAATAGAGTCCGTGCACTTAACCACTACACCAAAAGGCCCTCTTTCCGGCCACTGCCCACCCCCACCTCCAAAAGCAGGGGTGCTCAAACAACTGTGGGCCTTCATTGACAGTCAAGTTCATTAAAAAGATGGCAGTCCTTCAGAAATAATTACAGAACGGAAACAGCACTCTGGGCTAGACAGACCTCGGCAGGACCTCAGTCGGATCTGGCAGAATGTTCCGCATATCCTCACCCTTTCAGGTTTGCCCTGCATGCCTCGACATAGAAAGAGGAGCACCCAATTAACTGCAAAATTCATTTTAGCAAAAAGTCTGGGGGTGTTGGATGGGGGGAACAGCTTCCTTATGGCCTCGTTTTTTGAAAAATCTGCAGTTTCCAGGCGATAAGAATACCAAAATTTATGCGCACCCGGTGACAGGGGTTAAGCTGGCCAATGAGGACCCAATTAAAGAGATCGCCACAGCAGCCCGCGGGTTCATAAATTGCACTTTATAGTAAAGGAACTGATTCCCCCCCCAGATGTTTCAATTAAGCCTCAACACTTTTTTACGGTCTTTTTATATCAGTTGGAAAGGGTTGCTGGCACCGATCGGTGCTCGGACGAGGCTCTGAAACGAGCCAAAGGGAAGAAGGAGAAGGTTAGGTGGCAACTTGCCAATGAAGACGCCGCATGAGGAATGTCCGTGAGTGTCAAGGGCCGTCCCGCTAGTCATCGTCTTGGGTCTGTTACAGATCAGGGGTATCCAAACGCACCTGACCCGACCCCATCCAACAAGTTCCATTCTTTTGCCATCCACGTCAAATCCTGCTCTTCCAATCTCTGTTCTTCCAGCACCCTCTTCTTCTCGACAACCCTTCCCCCTCCAACGTTTTTAAACCTTGCACAATGCTGCCGTCATGAGACCAAGCACCGCAAAACACACCTCTTGTGGAAAAGAGGAGACATCTAAACTTGTCGGTCAGAGGGAAAGGACTCAGCAAGACGCCGTTCAATGTGCCTGAGGAATTTTGTAGTTACCACTGGCTGGTCTTTTACGAAGGATACCTTCTTAATGGTTAAGCTGTTTCGTTGGGATTGCAACCCACCCCGAGTCTGGTCAGGGAGAAAGGCATGTTAAAAATGTTCCCGAGAAATAAAACCTCCTAAACTTTTATGACTATGTTGTTGGGGTCAAATAGACTCCAATGACTTCAAAGCGTAGGTTATAATGAGATCTACATAGAATAAAATGACTTGGGTTTAGTATCTTCTAAATGTAGGCTGTTCCCAGTAGATACAATACACAGAAACAGCAGCGTTAAAATTTATGTATTATCTATATATCTAATAGTGAAGGCGCCCCCTGCGTGCGGATATCTAAATCCATACATCGGGGGCACCTAGGGGGCAGGGAAATTTTCCTGCCCTCTTGGGGCAGTCCCCAGGTGTGCACAAAAATCTAAAAAGTAGAAAAAATATAGGGGGGATATTTAAATTCCCCCAAAAGTAAAAGAGTGTTTCCTACGCACGCTCTGCGAACTCCCTCGCCGCTGCTGCTTGGAGGGGAAAGTCAAAGGCTTGGTGGGCTGGCAGCTGTGAGCGACTCAGCCGTCATCAACACCACCGCGCGGGGAGGGAAAGCTTGGCAGGTTGGCCAGGCCTTGCCGCCACTGGGAGAGGGGGGAGGCTTGGCGAGCCGAGGCCTCACCACTGTTGCCGGGGGGGGCAGGAGAGGTTTGGCGGGCCTGGCAGCTCGGAGCCACATGGACCTCGCCGCCATTGCCAGGGGGGGGCGGGGGATGTTTGGCGGGCCCAGCCTCGCCGCCATTGCCAGGGGGGGCGGGGGATGTTTGGCGAGCCCAGCAGCTCAAAGCTGCACAGGCCTCACCTTCGGGGCCAGGCAGGGGCGGGGAAGAAGGCTTACCTGCGGCAGCTTCCTCCTTGACAAGTAAGGGGAGGGAGGGAGGAAGGAGAAAGGTTGGTGGGCTGGCCTCACCGCCGCCACTGGGGGGGGGAAGGAAGGAAGGGGGGAGGGAGAAGGCTGGGCTCACCTGCTGCCACTTCTGCAGGCTGGGAGCTGTGGGGAATACTCCCCCCCCACACACAGTATCGCGGGTCCCACCTCTTGTTTATTAACTAAATTAAGTTAAATCAAACTAACTCCTCCCCAACCGATGTAAAAATTATCTCCAAGATGAACATGATGATGATGATGATGATGAAGAGGAGGAAGAGGAGACTGGATTTATACCCTGCCCTTCAGCCGAAGTAGCACCAACCCAGAAAAGCAGCAAAAACTCAGAAGGACAGATGGTGATCCAGGCCAGTGGTGGGCTTGGTTTTTGTTGGATGATGATGATGTCTAGTTACATGTAACAGACTTTGGGCAGGAGAGGATCTGATCCTGCCAAAATTAATCTATTTTTAGTGACTTCAAAGGCAGAGTTAAGCAGGATCTCCCAATCTCTGCCTTTGAAACTGATGGAGCTATTTAAAGAAAAGAAGAAGAGCGAGCTCCTCTGACTGGATCGTGCCCTGGAAATTTTGTAAACCACGTGAGCAATAAAGGATAGGGCAGAATTTAAAAAACAATCCAAGTAAACAGATAAATAGATGATAATGTAGCACAAGGTCGGGCTACCCCCCAAAAAAAAGTAATACGCTGTCTGCCTTTGAAGATGTTGGTGTGAGGCAGATAGAGACATGGGGTGCAGTCCCAGACCTCTGGCCCCTCAAGCCAAGGATTCTCCTTGGACACTTAAGCAATATGTGCCATGCAAAATGGCCGACCAAGCAGCTGTTTGACATGCGCATCGGGAACTGCCTACCCCGATATAACAGATCTGGGTATTTCCATTTATTTTACCTGGAGAAAGCTCTGGAGATGGTCAGTGCCAAACACATCCAAGACTTCCATGGCCCCAGCACTCGCTTTGCTGACGACGGGTGTGAGAGGGCAACTGCAAGTTGAAAAGTCCCCCCCCCCGGGGGGGTGACGTTATTTGAGATTTCAAGATCAGCTGAGAACCACCCATTAACAATCCCCCTGCAGGCAAAATTCCGTTTGGTCACCTGCTCTCCTTGGTCTCCCCCACCTGCAAACAGACACACTTTCCCACTCTTTTTAAAACAGAAGATAGAAACAAAACAAGAGAAATGGTTGTGCCGCAAAAGATACACACCAATAAATAAGCATTAATAATATAAAGATATTAACAACGGCCTCCGTTTTAAAACAGAAGATAGAAACAAAAAACTCACCTATTCCTTTGGCTCATCACAATCCCGTCAACACCCAAGAAGTGAGCAGACCGCAGGACAGCCCCCAGGTTCATGGGGTCTTGTATCCCCTCCAAGGCCAGCCAGAGGAGCTGGGCCCCCTCACTGGTGGCCCCCTCAGCCTCATGGGAGGACCCTTCCTGCCAACTAATAGGGCGAAGGGGCGTGGCCTCCAAGCAGACGCCCTGGTGGACCCCTCCCTGGCAAAGGGCATCCAGCACCTTCCTTGGAACCAGCTTCACGGGGATGCCCCGGGCCTCTGCTCGCTGGGAGAAATCTTCCATCACGGGCCGCGTGCTGGTACTGCCAGACTTGAGGAACAGCCTGAAGAAGCCCCTCTTGGCCCTCGCCAGCGCCAAGGAGCAGGGCGCAATCCCAAACAAGACCTCAGAGCCTTTGGTCCGTCCAGCAGGCAAAGGTCTGGGCTGTGACTGTCCCTTCTCTCTGAAGTCGTCGTTTCTCAGGTTCCAGAATTCCTCCTCCCTGGCGGGCGGACATTTGGCAGGCAGCTTCCACCGGAGATGGGATGGAGTCTGAAGCCTGTGATCTTGGCAGGGTTTGCTAGTCGGAAGTGGCTGCTGGTTTGGCTGGGCAGCCCCCCCACTTTCCGCCCTATCCAGAAGAGAGTCGACGTGCCGGCGAGATACTTCTTTGGGGCCAGCCCTGCGGGGGGAGCCATTTTCTAGCAACAGCCGTTCCTCCCATACTGAGAAGTGACGGAAAGTCTGGGGAGGGTGGTTGCGACGAACGGCGAGTCCCAATCTCACAGCATTCCGGAAGCAAAATTTAAAGGACGGGAGGCATTCCATGGTGGGCTTGGTATTTGTCTAGCTCTGCCTTAAGAAACAAGAAGCGGCATCAGGTCAAGAGGAATACTTATTGAGGGCCAAACTACACGATCCATTTCCTTGTGGCGGAAAGCCTGCTCAAGGGGCAGCTGACTCACGGCACCCCCATAGGGTCCCCAAGGCCAGAGGCCTTCAGAGGTGGTTTTGCCATCGCCGGCCCCTGCCTAGCCACCCTGGACTTCCTTGGGTGGCCTCCCATCCAAGTCCTGACCAGGGCCTGCCCTGCTTAGCTTCCGAGATCTGAGGAGACTTGGCCAGCTTGGGCCATCCTGGTCATTTTTTTCAATGAGTCGTTAAAAATGCAGTTTGGCCCATAGGCTGAACTAGAGTTTCTACTTGGGCAAAGCAACTGTGTGAATGCCACAGTCCTGTGAGAAAACAGAAAACCCACAGAACATGATGGCAGGATGTGGAACGGAGCATGCCAAGAGTCTCAAATTTCAATTTTTTTAAAAAAATAAAGGTTTCTGATTCCTTTTGGTTATGAATACATGCATGTCTGAAAGGAAAATGAGGCATTCTGAAATTGCCCCAAAGGGCGGCTGAACAGTTTCCCACTGGCTTTAGCACAGAGACCTGGCAGGAAGCAAGGGGACCCAGGTGTGAAGATAACTTTTTATTAAGAAGAGATTGGATTTATACCCTGTTGTTGGGAGAAGTTTACAGTCTCCTTTCCCTTCCCCTCCCCACAACAGGCACGCTCACAACTTTAATGCCAGTGGCTCACAGAGTAGAATTTTTGCTCACAAGACTCCACAGCTTAGAGGTAACATTGGCAGGCAGTTGTGACGTTACGTATCATATGCAATGTAATATATAATTCAAGGCTCCCCAGTTGTGCTGGAGATCTGTCTGTCCCTAAGACTTTCCCCGGGATAATAGACCTCCAGTCCTTCCCTGTGTGTGTGTGTTGGTGTCTCTCTTTCAAACAGAGATCTGCCCCTTTTGGCTCTGGCAAAGCCTCTCCACAGAGTCTCATCTGTCCCTCTAGTCTGTGACACCCTGTCCCTGTGCCCCAGGCTGAGCGTTTTCCCTCAGAAGGAAGCCACCCAAAAGCCCTTTCTCAATAACTGTCACTCCCGCTTCCAGCTGCCCCCAACCGACTCCTCTTTTCCCCTCCTGGATGCATTCCGTGGTCATGGAAGTGGCTCACCAATCAGAGAGCGCCTCTCCCGCTGCCTACACTTAGCCCGTTCTTCACCTAGTTCACCACAGCTCCTAACCACCACACCAAACGGCACCGTTTCTATCCTGACCTTCCTCACAGGCTCTCCAGGCAACACACATCATTTCCCCTGTCTCTCTTTCATCCTCACAAGAACCCTGCCAGGCAGATGAGGCTGAGGGTCCGTGGCTGGCCCAAGGGTCACCCAAGACGTTTCCAGGTCAGAGCAAGGGTTCCAACCAGGGACTCCCAGATCCTAGTGTGACTCTGTAACTGCTCACCACAGGACTGACTGACTTCACTCACACCCTGCCTTTCTCTCCCCCAAACAGCTTATGTTGCTCTCCTCGCCTCCATTTTACCTTCACGCCACCCCAGTGACAGGGCCGGCCCCAGCTTATTTTGCACCCTAGGCAAGGATCCCTTCTGGCGCCCCCCCCCCCCCCCACGGGCCCCCCCCATTTCAAAAAAATAAATGCATTTTAGGAAGAATGAAAAACATAAATAATCAAGAAACTCCCAGTGTATGGGGCCGGGTTCAATTTGGCGCCCCTAAGGGCCGTCCTGCTCTAGGCGACCGCCTAGTTCGCCTAGTGAGTGAGCCGGCCCTGCCCAGTGACACAGATGAGGCCGAGAGCATGACCTAACTGGACCAAGGACACCCAGCAAGCTTCCACAGCAGAGGAAGGAGTCAAACCTGGGTCTCCCCAGCTGTAACCTGGCACTCTGACCGCTACGCCACACAACTGCTTTGAGCATGTAGCAGCTCCATCCATTTTAAAAAGCTAACATTTCAGAAATTTCGTTTACATTGCTATCTCCCCCCACGTAATCATCTGTGGGGCATGCAGAATTGACATTGGACCAACTCCCCCCCCCCCCCCCCCCCACTATCATTGAGGGTTAAGTATAGATGATCAAGGGATACCAGTTTGGTGTTGTGGTTAAGTGCGCGGACTCTAATCTGGGAGACCCGGGTTTGATTCCCCACTCCTCCACACACAGCTGCTGGTGTGACCTTGGGTCAGTCACAAGTTCTTTCAGAGCTGTTCTCTCAAGAGCAGTTTCTGTCAGGGCTCTCTCAGCCCCACCTACCTCACAGGGTGTCTGTTGTGCGGAGGGGAAGGGAAAGGAGTTTGTAAGCCGCTCTGAGACAAGGGCGGGGTATAAATCCAATCTCTTCTTCTTCTTCTTCTCTACCTTGCAAAGCATGCAGAAATGGCTCACCGCTTAACACTAGCTGTCTACCTGTCCATCCAACTGCCCAGAATAGGCCAGTCTTGTCAGATCTTGGAAGCTCAGCGGGGGGGGGGGGTCAGCCCTGGTCCATATCGGGATGGGAGGCCACTAAAGAAGTCCCAGGTTTCTACACAGAAACAGGCAACGGCAAACCTCCTCTGAATGCCTCTTGCCGTGAAAATGCCACAGGGCTGCCATGAATCAGATGTGACCTGAAGGCACTTCCCACCACCACCTGTCCATCTGTATGCATTTTTATCCACCAAGGAACTCAGAACGGCAGAGCTGCTTCCCCCCTCTTCCATCTGGCCCTCACAACAAACCCCTGAGGTGGGTTCGGCGGCTCCAAGGTCATCCGGGGAGCTTCACAGCACAGAAAGGACATGAACCCAGATCTCCCGGGCCCTAGTCCAGGGGTGGCCAAACTGCGGCTCAGGAGCCACATGTGGCTCTTTCACACATATTCTGCGGCTCCTGGCAGGGTGGCTGGGGAAGTGAAGGGGAGGCATCCTTTTTCTTCCTCCCTTCCATCTATTTGCTTTCTTTTTCTCTCTTTCTTTCCACCTCTTCCATTATTTCTTTCCACCTGTCTCTTTCTCTCTCTTTTTCTCAGGCAAATAAATATCATTGGACAAATTAATATTATCGATATCAGTTTTTACCCCTTCTGTTTGTATTTTTGGCAATCTCCTTTAATGTTAACAAAAAGCAAATTTGTATTTTTTAAAATAAAAACGTGTGTGTGATATCTGTTCATGTCTTGCGGCTCTCAAACATCTGACATTTATTCTATTTGGCTCTTATGTTAAGCAAGTTTGGCCACCCCTGGGCTAGTCTAGCACTGTATCCGCCACCACATGCTCAACCCTCAAGGGGAAAGATGGAAAGGGAACAAGTTACACAATCTTTTTTAAAAACCCTTCATATATTTTTACAGGTTTACATCTTCAACATGAAAGTTGAAGAGCAACTAAGGCTGACTGCAAAGAGCTCCCAGAGGACCCCCACAAATTGGGTGAGTGGGTGACAACGTGGCAAATGAAGTTCAGTGTTGGTAAGTGTCAGGTGATGCACATGGGGACACAAAAATCCTGACTTCAAGTCTAGGCTAATGGGGGTCTGAACTTGCTGAGACTGAGAGGGGATCTTGGGGTTATAGTGGGCAGCGCAAGGAAAGTGTCAACCCCGTGGGCTGCAGCAGTGATGCAAGCTCTATGTTATAGGGGTTTAATTTAATAGCCAGGGAGAAGGAGGGTTAAATGATAGGAGTTAAATGATAGGAAATGTGAAGAGGCTTCCCTTGTTGATTTCCTGCCTGCCACACAGCGGTAAAAAGCACACAAGCTTTCCCAAGCAATGGGAGGAGGGCTGGCAAGTACTCAAAGCAGACCATAAAACACTGCAGACACAACTTTTTCAAAAGGATCACAGGTCCCTGAAAGACAAACCCCAAAAGTCAACCCCAAAAGCTGTGTAAATACTCTTTAATTCCGCTCCAGCTCTCACAAAGGCCCAGTCCTTTCTTGTTCTTGTGCTGTTCTCCTGCCTGCTCCACAAAGGGGCCCGGTTTGCACAGGGGAAGGACCAGAATAACTGCCGGCTTTTCTGTTTCCCAAGAGAGACCCCGGTCTCCTCTCGCGGTGCTTCTCCGATCCTAACCCAAGCGGGATTTTATCTTTAACGCCTCCGAGGGTCCCTTCGATTGCCAGAGAGCTACCAAATGCAGGCAACCGGGCTTCCCACGCGCTCCCCTCTCCTCTTTTGCCTCTCACATTCAGACGGAGGCAGAATTAGAGGACGCTGAAATCTTCCTTGCTGCTTCACGGGCATATTAGTGGATCCGAAGCACAGGCTGCTGCCGCTGCTCTTTGCAACACGAGGGGCACCCCACGAAGCCTGCTAATAGCGAGGCATCTTCACACACACACACCCAATTCTTGCAGAGGAGAGAAAAAACCTACCTTATCACCCACGTGGACAGCTTTCCACTTCCGGGTGCTCATCCAGCAGCGAGGTCATAGAGATGGGGCCGGTCCAGAGAGACCCTGTTATTCCACAGCGCCACCTGCTGTCCATAGCTTGATTTCTTTTTAAAAATTTTAGTAACAATTTTATTAATGATGATAATGATGAAGAAGATGAAGGAGGTTTCCCTTGCTCGGAAGCCAGTCGAATCCGACTCTAGGAATGTAGTGCTCATCTCCGTTTCCAAGCCGAAGAGCCAGCGCTGTCCGAAGTCGTTTCCATGGTCGTGTGGCCCCCTCACTTCCATTACAACATGAACTTATTCGGCTTACCACAAGGATAAGAAGAACCCGAAAAGCTGAAATAACATATTCTGTAGCAACAAGTTCTTGTATTCCAAAAATCAGAATATCAACAATACACTTTCTGAAGTTACGCATTTAAATTATCATATTCTTAAATAAAGCAGGAAGTCAAAATAACCTTTCATGAACTGATGCAAGCTCTAAAATAGGAAAGGAAATCGACGGCTTTTCCTCGCTTTTCCAAGTTCTGGATGACACCTGGTTTCCCTCTCTGTCTTTTGCCTTCCCTAATTAATTAATTATTTTAACTCTTTTTTGTTTCTTTGTTGTTATTGTTTTCATTTGCATGGATTTTTTAAGTCTCCTTTAAAAACGTGTTTGATAAAAGGGTCGCACCATTTAAAAATAATTCAAAACTAAACTGATTTATTACGGCAGAAGTGCTCAGGGACTGGAGGAGCCACCTTCCTCTGAGGCATCGCACCTGCCTTCATCTACCAAGGAGGGTCCCTAGTTCTCTGGCTCCTGTACCTATGGTTGCCGACCCCCAGGTGGGGCCTGGAGATCTCCTGGAATTACAACTGACCTCCAGACAACAGAGATCAGTCCCCCTGGGGAAAGGGGCTGCTTTGGAAAGTGAATTATATAGTATTATACCCTTCTGTATAGGAGCTGCAGTGGCTCAAGTGATTAAGACGCTGAACTGCAGGCTGTGGAAGGTCAGTAGTTCAGCAGTTCGAGACCCAAGTGCCGCATGACGGAGTGAGCTCCCGTCTCTAGTTCCAGCTCCTGCCAACCTAGCAGTTCGAAAGCAAGAAATTGCAAGTAGATAAATAGGTACCACTTTGGTGGGAAGGTAACAGCGTTCCGTGCGCCTTGGTGGTTAGTCATGCCGGCCACATGACCACGGAAACGTCTTCGGACAGCGCTGGCTCTTCGGCTTTGAAACGGAGATGAGCACCACAACCCTAGAGTCGGACTCGACTGGCTTTTGAGCAAGAGAACCTTTACCTTTTATACCCTTCTGAAGTCCCTCCCCAAGCTCCACCCAGAAAACCTCCCAGAATTTCCTAACTTGGAGTTGGTGACCCTGCATGTACTTATATGATAAATTACATTATTCCACAATTAATGAACCACCTTCCCAAGGAAGTCCACCTGGCCCCCTCACTTCCAGTCTTTAGGAGGCAGTTGAAGGACCGTTTTATTTAGGGCCGCGTTTCACTAATTCAGAACAAAAGTTTTAGTGCAGTGATACCTTGGACATCAACTAAGTTTTATTCTAGGTATAAGCTTTCGTGTGGATACACATTTCTTCAGTACGTATCTGAAGAAGTGTGCACACATACAAAATTTTATAGCTGAAATAAAACTTTTGTTGGTCATAAAGGTGCCACTGGACTCAAAACTTTGTTCTGCTGCTTCAGACCAATACGGATACCCACCTGAATCACTAATTCAGAGTTATTTATTGGCAGTCTTTCTTGTGATTTTAAATCATAGTCTCGTACGTATTTTTATCATTGTTTTATTTACATTGTAAGCCAATTTGAGTTGCACAAGGAAGAAAGGCAGCTAGTAAATGTTTTAAGCAAATAGAGTTAAACAAATTATTCACCAGTTGTGTAGATTTTCTGGGTTATGTGGCCGTGGTCTTGGCACCTTGACACAGAGATTATTCCATCTTTCTGTGTTATACCTCTGAGGATGCCCGTCACAGCTACTGGTGAAACATCAGGTTCTACAATGCCAGGACCACGGCCACACAACCCGGGAAATCTACAGCAACTAATGAACTCCGGCCATGAAAGCCTTCAACAACAAATCATTCACTGTTCCCCTGTGGACCTTTTGGGGGATACCTACTTAAAATGTTATTAGCCTAAGTATTTTTGAGGAACTGTCATTTTTCCACTCACCTCCGTACCCTAAAACGCTTCACCTGCCATTTCCACATATTAACTGCTTTTAAAGCAACAGGACATTTTTCTCAAGGCTTGTTGGCAACTCTAATTCAAAGCCTTCCACAAGGTCTCATGATAGGGGCAGGAGGGCTTGAGCAGTATTCCTTCAATTGATAATTTAGGCAAAAAAGGAATGTCCCTCTTTTGACCTGTGAAAGGGTGAACAGCGTTGGGATTACACGTAATTTACCTGGGTCTAGATGGGGAAAATGTGAGGTTCAAACTAAACCAGGAAATGGAAGAACTATAATCTTCCCTCCCACTTTTGTCACCTTTTTCTGCTTTATCATTTCTCAGGTGCCGTTTCCATGCAAATATGAGGGATATTTTCTTGGAAGTGAATGAAGTATAGTTGCTAAGGCCAGTCCTAGACACTCGAGAGATGAAGCCCTTTTAGACACTGTGGGACTTGCTTCTGAATAACCACAGATAAGGAGGACTGATCATATTTTTCTCTCATTGTCCTTCCTAGTGTTTCCGGCTGCATCTGTTTTTAAACATGAGCCTGCAGTGCGATGTGGCTGTGAAGAAAGCTAATGCAATCTTAGGATGCATTGACAGAAGCATTGTGTCCAGATTACAGGTGGCAGTTTCGCTCTATTCTGCTATGATCAGGCCTCACCTGGAGTACTGTGTCCAGTTTTGGGCACCACATTTTAGGAAGGAGGTTGACAAGCTCGAGTGTGTCCAGAAGAGGGCAACCAGGATGGTGAGAGGGTTGGAATCCACGTCTTATGAGGAAAGGCTGAAAGAGTTGGGTATGTTTAGCCTGAGAAAGAGAAGGCTTAGAGGGGACATGATTGCTGTGTTCAAGTATTTGAAGGGCTGTCATGTAGAAGATGGAGCAGATCTATTCTCTCTTGCTCCGGATTGCAAGACTAGATCTAATGGGTGGAAATTACAAGGGAGTCATTACTGGCTAAATATCAGGAGAAACTTCCTAACTGTAAGAGTGGTTGAGCAGTGAAACAGTATGCCTCGGGAGGTGGTGGATGCTCCTTCGCTGGACGTTTTCAAGCGGAGGCTGGATGACCATCTTTTGGGTATGTTGTAGGGCTATCTTTCAGCTATGCTCCTGCAGAGTGCAGGGGGTTGGACTAGATGACCTGCAAGGTCCCTTCCAACTCTAACATTCTATGATTCTATGATCCTCACAGTGACCCCAGGTAGGTTAAGGGAGAGAGAATGATGACACTGTCTAACCATCTCATCCTTTGCCGTCCCCGTCTTCTTTGACCTTCAATCTTTCCCAGCATCAGGGTCTTCTCCAGTGAGTGCTCCCTTCTCATTTGGTGGCCAAAGTATTTGAGCTTCAGTTTCATTATCTGGCCTTCCAGGGAACAGTCAGGGTTGATTTCTTTGAGGATTGACTGATTTGTTCTTCTTGCAGTCCAAGGGACTCTCAAGAGTCTTCTCCAGCACCATAGTTCAAAAGAATCTATTCTTCGGCGCTCGGCCTTCCTTATAGTCCAGCTCTCGCAGCCATACATGACTACTGGGAATACCATTGCTTTGACCATGCGGACTTTTGTTGGCAGGGTGATGTCTCTACTTTTTATCATGCTGTTTAGGTTCGCCATCGCTTTCCTCCCAAGGAGCAGGCGTCTTTTAATTTCATGGCTGCAGTCACAGTCTGCGGTGATCTGGGATCCCAGGAACGTGAAGTCTGTCACTACTTCCACAGCTTCCCCTTCTATTTGCCAAGGAGTGATGGGGCCGGATGCCATGATCTTAGTTTTTTTGATGTTGAGCTTCAAGCCCACTTTTGCGCTCTCCTCTTTTACTCTGAGCAAGAGGCTCTTTAGATCCTTTTCACTTTCAGCCATTAGAGTGGTATCATCTGCATATCTGAGGTTGTTGATCTTTTCCCCAGCAATCTTAATTCCCGCTTGTGATTCATCCAGGCCAGCATTTCGCATGATGTACTCTGCATATATATTAAATAAGCAAGGTGACAGTATACATCCTTGTCGTACTCCTTTTCCTATGCTGAACCAATCAGTTGTTCCGTATCCGGTTCTAACTGTCGCTTCTTGGCCCTTATACAGGTTTCTCAAGAGACATGTGAGGTGGTCTGGTACTCCCATCTCTTTAAGGACCTGCCATAGTTTGTTGTGATCCACACAGTCAAAGGCTTTAGCATAGTCAATGAAGCAGAAGTAGATATTTTTCTGGTACTCTCTTGCTTTCTCCATAATCCAGCGAATGTTGGCAATATGATCTCTCGTTCCTCTACCTCTTCGAAACCCAGCTTGTACTTCTGGTAGTTCTCTATCCACGTACTGTTGAAGCCTAGCTTGTAGGATCTTGAGCATGACCTTGCTAGCGTGTGATATGAGTGCAATTGTGCGATAGTTTGAACATTCCTTGGCATTGCCCTTCTTTGGGATTGGAATGTATACTGATCTTTTCCAATCCTGTGGCCACTGTTGCGTTTTCCAAATTTGCTGGCAAATGGAGTGCAGCACTTTAACAGCATCATCTTCTAAGACTTTGAATAGCTCAGCTGGAATACCATCACCTCCACTAGCTTTGTTGTTAGCAATGCTTTCTAAGGCCCATTTAACTTCACATTCCAGGATGTCTGGCTCAAGGTCAGTGATTATACCGTCGTGTTTGTCAAGGACATTGAGGTCTTTCTTGTATAGTTCTTCTGTGTATTCTTGCCATCTTTTCCTAATCTCTTCTGCTTCTGTT